GGGGGGGGGGGGGGGGGGGGTGCTCCCCTTATCATCTTAAATTTTCATTATAATCCTCGTGGACATCATTGAAAACCTATTGCAAGTTCTCATTATAGTTTTCCTCTTTAATTTTTGCTTTCGGATTGTGTAGCAAGAGGTTCTTTTTAGCAGAGAGCTTTTTAATGTAGGCATGTTTACTGAAAAGATGCTTGGAGTACTTCTGATGCTACTTGATTGTTCAATTGTTGTTAAATCTTATAGAATTCATGTCAGCAGTGACAATATCTCTTTGAACCTATGAAGTTCACTACGGCTTCTAATTTTGTCAGCTTTTGGAGTTCCTCAGATATGATTGGATTCTTTGCCTTTTTGTTTCTCTCTACCTTTGTTATTTTGGGTACAGCACGGCAATAAACAGTTAAACACAACACTAAGACTATTGATTTTGTTACAAACCACTCCTTGTTTCTAACACACCCTTTTTGATCTTTTTTGCTATATATGACAAATGATCTAGAGTGGTTCATGTAGCTAATTACTTGGTATTGGATAAGTCTGTGGGTTTTTGTCACGTTAGCTTTAAAGATATATGGTGCAGCTTGGGAAATTGTTCTGAAGGTAATGAAGCCATGAATTAGCTGGAAACAGTATGGTAAAACGCACAAGTTTTTACTAGAATTCCTTACCACCACAATTTCGAAGAGAATGATTTGTGCTTTAACTATTTTTTCTATGGAAGTTCACTGATGTGTTACTGCAAAACTTGCAGATTCTTCTTAATCCTCTCTATTTGCCAGGATCTCGCATCACATCATCTCACTTTGATACCAAAGTTAGAGCCCTTGCCAGGAAGTACCTATGAAGACTTACACTACGGACCAGTGCTAAATAAGAACTACATGAAATCCAAAGGTCATTCCTCCCAGTATTCATTTGCTATTGATGACTGGTTGTGTGTTTGGAATGATCATATTTCTCAATGTAAAAGATTTAAGTTCACTAGTGGACCTTCTTTTCATCAAGCTGATGTTTCATTATATTATTTATATAACTGCTAGAATAGATGAAACACCGAGCTTAGTTACTTGTTGCTATATCCTAGTCCATACATTGGTTCCAACATAACGCATCTGGATGTCATTCTATTCATGCATGTGATGCAACTAGCTCAAAGGCTTTCGAGAACTTGTCATTTAGTGGTCGTTTTAGCTCAGCCAAACAGAAACTCATATATTGAAGAAGCGTGACTTTGTAAGTATTCTCTTGTAATCCTTTTTTTTTTTTTTTTTTTTTTT